GCCATGTATCCTACAGACTATTGCTGCTGATACAATTAGTGGAGTGTGTAATTGCTACTGTATTATGCACATGAGGCTCATGCTTTACTACGCTGGTTGATTTTTCAGTCTTTAGGGAGTTACATCATAGGTAGGTCAATAAAGTGAAGACTAGATCCTATTTAAGATCGTAAATCATAGATAAAGTAAGCCCTTGCAATATATTTAACACAATCAATATATTTTCTACAAGGGGACACAGTGACACGCCCTAAGAGAGAATGTGAAAGAAAGTTCAGATTATTATTAATTATTTTTACAGCAACAACTTTGCGTTTATAATAACGCTCTTCACATGGGCGAGCACATTGGATGCTTAATGGTGGCGGAGCTTAATACCAAGCCGGGGGGAGGGTGGAGCTGACATAGTCGAAGAGGAAGGTCTTTAGGAGTGATCTGAAGGTGAATAAGGAGGAGGCAAGGGAGAGTGCCATTGTTTGGGGGCATAGTGGCTGAAAGCACAGCCGCCGATGGTGAAGCGAAGGCAATGCGGGACATGCAGGAGCCCGGAGCCAGCTGAGTGAAGGCGGCAGACAGAGGAGTGGAGTGTTAGCAGGTCGGAGAGGTAGGGGGTGCCAGGGCATCAAGTGATCAGGGACCGGATGTGGGGGAAGGAAAGACAGGGATCAATACTCACACCGAGGTTCCACACAGCTTCAGCGAGTCTGAGGGATAGGCTGGAGAGGTTCAGAAAGTCGGGGCTGCAGGTGAGGAGTCAAGAAGGATGGCTTCCATCTTATCAACATTCACCTGCAAAAAGTTGACTCATATATTTTCTACAAGGCCTTGATTTTACACCAAGAATGCTGAGTCTGTGGAATAAGCTATTGAGCGAGGCAATTGCTTGGCTAACCTCCAGCCAAACAGACACAGATAAGTTGACCAGAATGCGAACTATACTTTTCCTATTCAAAACAAAATCCTCACATCCACCAAACTCTACTTTACCTCCCAGCACCCTAACCCTAAATCATAATTCATCACCGTAAATGCATAAAGTGCATATGTACACAAGGGAACAGGAGTTATAGGATAGTGACAACCAGCGAGAACACTGATGTCACTTTCTTATAGCCCAAGGCTAATGTACTGTTCGTTCTGTCATTCTAAACAAGAACAATTGATAATTCAGAGAAGTTCAATTTCCCCATTACTTTGTTGAAATGCTGGGAATGATTACATTAAGCATCACATACCTATTGTTTCGCAGGGAAAAACAATTGTATTTGAACCTACCTGTTTCTCAATGGCAATACACTCGCAGACAAAACCATTTCCTCCACTATCTTTTGAATGAAGTTGCTTGTGTAAGTATCAGTTCTTATTAGCAATAAATGACAAAGCTACCCACCTGCTTTCAGCTCCACACACTCTGCGCTTACAGTGCACATACTACTCCATCGCTCATCTCCTTACCTGGAAATTTCATTCAGGGTTAGCTTCTCATACCTTGAGTCAGTCCCTCAATGAGAAATTAGAAAACTTTATACTGGGGGACAGACAAAATACTCTCCACTTGGATCCCTCTGTTTGGTTTGTCTGCCGCTGTTCTATAAGAGATGATTTACATTATTTAGGCAAAAGAGGAGCAGGGACTGTCTGTACTTTGAGCTGTTGATTTAATTCCTGGTACTCTAATAACTGCACCTGTACTGCATATGTACTGTACTTGGATATTTTAATACATAGATTCTTAGAGTTCCAATGCATGGGAAAATGATTCAATAGATGATGTTTCGGAACATTTTACAGGAATGGTGTGAATGGATCACTAAGGGTCAGGGAAAATAATAACAATCCTTGTACTGTATTTGATATAGTGAATTTACAAGGATGTCTCAAAGCACTTCATACGATTTTATTATGAAATGGAGTGTATTCAGACAAATGTGGCTGTTTCACAAAAGCTATGAAGTAAATTACCAATTATATTTTGGAGGATTGTTGGCCAGGACACTGAGCTGTGCAGTAACTGTATTTGTAGGGGAAACAAGGTCATTTTCGCATAGAAATGTTGCACAAATAGCCGTGAGGTGAATGATCACTTTTTTTCTTTTATTTTCAGATTGTTAGTCAAGACACCATGAAAAACTCCCTGCGCTTTCCAAATCGTGCCATGAGATCTTCAACATCCGCCTAACAGGCAGACAGAACCTCAATTTAGGATTTCATCCAAATAGCACCTTTAATAATTTAGTGCTGCCTTTGAAGTGTTGGCCTCGACTGTGATCTTGAAGTCCTGACATGAGCTTGAACTCAGTACTTTCTAATTCGGAGGTGAGAATGCTGCCAATTGAGCCAGGCTGCTGATAACCATCGGTGGTCGGGCCTTCAGCCTCTCAACCCCTCGGCTCTGGAACTCCATCCCCCAGTGCCTTCGCCGCTTCCTCCCTTTCCTCCTTCAAGGCCGGTCTCAAGACCTTTCTCTTTGACCGAGCCTTCAGCTCCCCTCTCGACTCTCTACCCCCTCCTCGCTCCCTCCCTTCCCTCCCCTCACCCTGACCATTTCCCCCCTCCTCGCTCCCTCCCTTCCCTCCCCTCACCCTGACCATTTCCCCCCTCCTCGCCCCCTCCCTTCCCTCCCCTCACCCTGACCATTTCCCCCTCCTCGCCCCCTCCCTTCCCTCCCCTCACCCTGACCATTTCCCCCCTCCTCGCTCCCTCCCTTCCCTCCCCTCACCCTGACCATTTCCCCCCTCCTCGCTCCCTCCCTTCCCTCCCTTCCCTCCCCTCACCCTGACCATTTCCCCCCTCCTCGCTCCCTCCCTTCCCTCCCCTCACCCTGACCATTTCCCCCCTCCTCACCCCCTCCCTTCCCTCCCCTCACCCTGACCATTTCCCCCCTCCTCGCTCCCTCCCTTCCCTCCCCTCCCCTGACCATTTCCCCCCTCCTCGCTCCCTCCCTTCCCTCCCCTCACCCTGACCATTTCCCCCCTCCTCGCTCCCTCCCTTCCCTCCCCTCACCCTGACCATTTCCCCCCTCCTCGCCCCCTCCCTTCCCTCCCCTCACCCTGACCATTTCCCCCCTCCTCGCTCCCCCCTTCCCTCCCCTCACCCTGACCATTTCCCCCCTCCTCGCTCCCTCCCTTCCCTCCCTCCCCTGACCATTTCCCCCCTCCTCGCTCCCTTCCCTCCCCTCACCCTGACCATTTCCCCCCAATGCTCGGGTCCTGACCCAACTGTACAGCGCCTCGGGACGTCCTCCTGACGTGAAAGGCGCTCAATAAATGGAATCTTGTTGTTGTTGTAATAAGATCCGTGAATGTCAACGTCTGAGCAAATTTTAGGCACTGTTTATAAACATCATCACAACGCCGTTTGAACAAAACATAAGATTTTATTTCTTTTTTCCCCCCCCAAAAAACTGAATTTCCGCCTTCTTTTGCGGTTGCGTTTCGGAGCCGGCGGCGATGAAAAGACTGGCCCTAATTCGTATCGTTTTCCCAGGCACGGGATGTACTCGCCCGGTGGAACAAGTCTTCTCTTAACTCCCAGTCAGTGGAACTTTTTGGACCGCGTAACACGACAGGCGCGCGCGCGTGAACGTGCGCGATTCCGTGAGGTTGGTGGCGATTTGAAACAACTGCCGGTTGGTCTAAAGGTAACTCGACAGAAATTGCAACGCAACGGCGATCGGACAAGACACACGCAGTCCGTCTTGCCAATACCCTAACAATAATAATGATAATCCTTGCATTTGATGTAGCGCTTTTCACGTCGGGAGGACGTCCCAAAGCGCTTCACAGAACACACTGTAAAGTGAAGTGACTGTATATTTGTGGGCGAACGCGGCAGCCAATTGCGCACAGCAATGTCCCACAAACAGTCGTGGATTGAAAATGACCAATTTATTATTGTTTTTGGTTTTGGAGGGATTATTATTAGGCTCTGTGTGGAGTAAGGAAACTTGCCCAAGGTTTCGCCCTCTGCCTGGAATTGAACTCAGGTCTCTCGCTCGCAAAGCGAGTGCTCTAACCACTGAGCCACAGGACTCCACCTCTGTTATGTCAGTGATTAAAACAACCCCCTCCCCAGTCAGGAACGATGAATGCCATCCACAGCAAATAACATGCACTTTACACACGCTCTTCGTGTGTTAAGTGTATGTGTGTGTCTGTCTGTGTGTGTGTGTGTGTGTTGGCTGAACTGAGCTGGTGAATGGGTGGTGGTGGGGGGGGGGGGAGGGGAGGGGTCAGGGGGGGGTCAAGTGTTGACGGATGTTGTTCGGTTCCCATGGAAACGCGGGGCGGGGCCGGGGTCGGGCCGAGCGCGCGTGCGCGTTGGGAGGGGGAGGGCGAGGGGGGGCGGAGGAACGCTCGGGACCGCGGAGGAAAATCTCGCGAGAAGGTGCGGGCATAACACGACGGGTTGGCGGAGGCGCGCGGGCGGGCGGACGGTTGGTCACAGCGCGAGACAGTTAGTCAGTCAGTCAGTCAGTCAGTGAGTGAGAGAGAGAGACGCCGCTCTCTCGCTGATCCTCTCGCTCTCCCCACACATACACACACACGCGCACACATACGCACTCTCTCGCTCGCGCTACTTGGAGCGGCAGCGCCTCGTCAAACCGGAGCGCGTCCGAGTCGCTCCGGTCCGAGTCTCAAGTCAAGTCAGTCACCTCCTCACTCTTACCGACCGTGTGACACGATAGACGGACCGCGAGACTGAAACTCTGAGGAGAAACTTTACGCACCGAGAGAGAGAGAGAGGGAGAGGGAGAGAGAGAGGGGTGTGTGGGGGGGGGAGAGAGAGAGGGGTGTGGGTGGGGGGGAGAGAGCCCGAGCCCGGGGCTGGAGGTGGGCGAACAGGCCGCGGCTTCGCAAACCCTTATTCGGCCTCTTTCCTCTCTCACACACACACACACCCACCGCCTTAATCGCTCACCTCACTCGCTCGCTCACTCCCACCCCACAGTCTGGGCCGTGGTGGTGGTGGAGGGAGTGTTGTGAAGATCCCCTCAGCCCCCACTCCCACTCCCACTCTCCCCCCATCCAGGGATCTCGTCAACTTCCATTTGCGGGTTGTTTTTTTGTTGGAGGAACCAAAAGAAAACGAACCCCCCCCCACACACAAAAAAAAATCCTGGTCGAGAGGGATCTTGTTTAAATGAGGTTCGGGTCCAAGATGATGCCGGTAAGTTTCTTTTTGGGTTTCTTTTTTTTAAATGGTTTTAACGGATTAATCGACGGGAGCAAAGCGTGTGTGCCTTGTTGTGGGGGGTGGGGTTTTTTTTTTTGGGGGGGGGGGGGTATTAAAAACAATTCCCAGCCCCTGGTGGTGGTGGTGGTGCGGGGGGTCTGGTCGGTGTAAACTGTGTGTGTGTGTGTGTTTAAAAAAAAGTTATCCACCGCGATGTTGACATCAATCAGTGTGTGTCCGTCGGTCGTTTCCAGTTGTGTGTCGTGCACTGTGTTTTTTTTATATACACACACACACACACATACATATATATATATATGTATATATATACCTGTTCTTTGGCAGTTCATTGCTGCGTCGTCTCGAGCTGCCTCTCTGCTCTCACTGTTGCGCGCCCCCGTTTCTTTTCCTGGGAAAAAAAATATCGCCGCCTCTCCTCTCCTCCTCCTCTGTTCAGGGTCTCCCGCGAGTGGACTACGCATCTGTAATTCCTGCAACCAGAGGCTTACAGGACTAAAAGGCACCTTCAGCCCAGTCCTTTTGGGGAACCGCGACAGTGTGTTCTGTGAAGCGCTTTGGGACGTCCTCCCGACGTGAAAAGCGCTATATCAAATGCAAGGATTATTATTATTATTATTACTTGTGTGCTTCAAGCCCATGAAGCCAAGCATCAACCTTTGTTAAACGTAAATACCGAGTTATTTTGTTCCCCTTCTTCTCTTCCTTCCTTGCTTCCTTCCACGAATGGTTAAAATCATGTAATGTTCACCTCCTTTGGATCTGAATCGGTAAGTGGCAGATCATTTGCATTCAATACCAAACCAAAAACAATAATAAATTGGTCATTTTCAATCCGCGACTGTTTGTGGGGACGCTGCTGTGCGCATTTGGCTGCCGCGTTCGCCCACAAATATACAGTCAATTCACTTTACAGTGTGTTTTGTGAAGCGCTTTGGGACGTCCTCCCGACATGAAAAGCGCTTTATCAAATGCAAGGATTATTATTATATTTGCGGTTGAGAATCAGGTCACAAAATTTTGCCCACAAAATATACAGTCAATTCCACTTGACAGTGTGTTCTGTGAAGCTCTTTTGAGGCGTCTCGATGACGTGATAAGGTGCTCTATTAAATGCAAGTATTAATAGAATTATCATCATCAGGTTTGGTTCTCCATGAGTGAATCATCGGTTGACATTGATGTCTGAGTCGACGTGCAAAGCTGAAGCTAGTCATTTGGGTGCAAATGGGAGGGCTGCTGGTGCCATTAAAATTAATTTTCAGCAAGAGTATGTCTTCATGAACAGAAAAATAGAGAAAATGTAGCATACCATAGGAATAATTATACAGATTGAAACTATAAAATAGTAACTGAAGATGTAACCCCTGCACCCCGATTACCCCAGTCCTGGTCAGGTCCACTGGCTCCCTGTCACAGAGCAGATCGACTTTAAGATCCTCATTTTAGTGTTCAAATCCCTCCACGCCTTGGCACTCCACCTATCTCTCCAACCTCTTTTCTCCTCACAGCACTACCTGCCACCTCCACTCTTCTAGCTCCCACCTCCTCCTTGTCCCTCGAATCCTCTGATCCACCATCGGCGGCTGTGCCTTCAGCCACTAGGCTTTGAAGCTATGGAACTCACTCAATCCCTTCACCTTGCCCCCTCTTTCCCCATTTTCTGATTGCACCTGAAGACCTTCCTCTTCACCCATGCTTATGGTCACTTTCCCCCTCCCCTCCCCCTGGTTCGGCATTGGGCTCCACCATTGTTAAGCGCGCTGGGACGCCGCCCGGCATGGAGGGCGGCATTCTAGAGTGCTTAGCAATGGTGGAGCAACTTGTATAAATGCAAGTTGACGTATTCTGACAAAGTAAGCTTTAATACAGCATTAATCACGAACTCCCCTTTTTAAAATAGAAGAAATGATGACTAACATCCTTTAGTCTGTTAGCCTTTGCCTTCTATTTGAGTGCTGATAACCTCATTGGAGATATTGTTTTAACGGTTTACTTCCAAGGGAACTGAATTATATCAAACTATATCAAATGCAAAGATTATTATTATTATTAACAATAGATGCCTAGGTGTTTTGTTTGACTTTCAACTCAATTAAATCCATTACCTGGCCTCTAACCAAGTCTGCTTTCTTCCGTCTGCAACATCAGATGGTGTCTGCCATTGCCTCAGATGGTGGCTGAAACCCTCATCTGTTCCTTTGTCACCTCCAGACTAAACTTTTCCAATGCCCTGCTTATTGGCCACCAGACCATCCAGAACCAGCATCCTCTGCAGCACCAGACTCAACATCCGTATCTTTACACTTAAATGGCTTTATAATCTTGCCTACCTTACCCCGGTGACATGATTCCACATTACTCCTCCAGTTACTTCCTCCACTTTAACTCTGGCATGCTTCGTGTCTCTCACCTGTTTTGACCTACCATCAGCAGGTGAATTTTCAGTTACTTTGCCCTGTCCCCTGGAACTCTTTTTGAAATCCCTCCAGTTTGCTCCCTCCTCTGATTTCAAAATCTGTTGAAATACCTCTCTTTGATTGTGCTTTTGGTTACATCCTCACCTTATTTGCAGCATGGTTCATGCTTTGAATTAAAACGCATCTTGAGATGTTCTCCTCCCTATGTGAAAGACACTATATAAATGTAAAATGTTGTAGTTGGATGCCTAACTCTAAACAATTGCACAATGACTTTACATCACATATTGTTTTCATGTAAACTGAAAACACTGCATGAATTTAAGCTAATCTTGTCAAAAGCATTCAGAAAGTGGCCTTCATACAGTATAATTGTGGTGTGGTTACTTCTGCTGCCCTATACAAAATGAAATACTATAATAGTGATTTTTTGCAACAAAAAAATGTGCAACTCGTTTCTGCAATGTATGAGTTGCTTTTAGATAGTGCTGTTGCAACAGGAGCCAACTGTGTTGATCCAGCTTGATTGGTAGTTTGAGAAAGTGGGAGAATGGGATTCAGGTGAATTTTAAGGTGACTGCTGCTGCCTATGTAACCCTCCAGTATTTGTAATGACAGATTTCACTAGCTTCAGGAGTTCAGTATAAACAAAAAAAGTGTCATTTTTGTTTTATTTTCCTTCATTTCTATAATGGATATAATCAGTGGTGAGGTGGCCAGTATCCAAAGGTACTGACCACCCATCTGTTTACCGAGGTTGTTTAGAGTGTCAACTGACTGTTTGACTACAATTCATTTGTGTTATCACCAATCACACCAAATCCAATTGTGCCTTTGCCTAACTTCCAGGGCTATCCCTTCTGAGAACAATGATTGATTGGATGGTGATGACTGATGAGGTATGCAACTCTGGATTGGTCTTTACTTCCCCAGCTCAAGTGTTCATCCACAGTTGCATGAAGGTGATTGTCGTACTTTGAATTTTGTTTAACCACATATGGTCCCTGAAGTGGTAGTTGGATGTCGGGACCAGCTCAGATTCTGTTCTAGCAGAAATACTATACTGACCATGTGCAAAATTAAGCTTTGATGCTGGCCATGTGATATTAACAATTTTGTACGTGTGTGCGTGCATGGACATGTGCACAACTTTACAAATATGTACAAATATGTTTTTTTTGGCTAGGGGCAAATGTAGATCTTTTAGATTCATTATACAGTTTGGGGTTTGAGATGAAGGAAGAAAAATACTTGGAGAAAAAGGCAGAATGAGAAATAGAGTAAAAGAAGTGTAACGGTTAGCAAGAACTGCTGAGAAAGTACCTGCAAGAGGGGGCCTGACACAGTGTGGTACTATATCAATTGTATAATTTACTGATGGGTCAATGTTTTAATTGGTGCTATAGTCAATTTTGTGTTTTACATGATGTCCAGTTATCCTCGCTGTCTGCTTAAATGCAAAGGTCCCGTTACATTCAGTGCAGATCATGCTTCCATCGCATCCATGTTTGACGATGCCAATGTCCTGCTCTCTGGACTCCCTGCAAGAATTCTGCGGAAGAACTTACAAAAGAACTATCCGGAACTCTGCCTGTGCCCTCTCCCACACCAGGCTCTGTATTCAAGATCAGCATTCTCACCTTTAAATCCCTCCATTCCACCTAACCTCTGTCACCTCCTACAACCCTACTGGCCTGGTTGTTCCCTTTGCTCAGTGAACACTAACTTGCAAGAATTCTTATTCTCTGCCCCACCTTTGGGCATAACCTTCAGAATTTTGGCCCCAATCTTTGGAACTCCATCCCGTAGTCCCCCCAACTCTTCTCTTCGCTTTTTGGGGTATCTTTCTGCTCCCCACCATCTTCAGCTCCAACCCCTCAGCTCGGATGCCCAGTCAGAAGCATGAAGCACTTTGAGACACCTTCCTGATACGAAAGGCATTATGTAAATGATATGATCTACCCTCCACTGTTTTGTTTAGGTAAGACATTGAATCTGGGGACTGTCTGGGTTGGTGTTTCAATTTCACGCAAGATTGTGGCTTTAGAAGCCAAGACATTAGGATCTGTTGATTTTAACTACTGTAAGCATAGTAGAAATTGGAAATCAATTGATGCAAACGTAATTGATTTGGTTTCTGTTTTCCTGAACAAATAGTTTGTCAGACTTTCGGGATCGATACTTGTGCCTTCCTGTTACGTTGGTCTTTTACTGATGTAGCCTCATAACACAGCTAGGAACTTGGGGATATCCATCACTTGACTAACACTTTTTTATTGTAGCTATGAAGTTTGTGGTTGGCTGTTAAGTATTTGATGTTAATGTTTCTGTTGAATTTTGGCAAAATGCTTAGTTGTATACATGGATAAAATTTGCAGAGATGTACTAATTCAACAACAACGTCTGCATAACTTTCAAAAGTTATACTTTTCTCTTCCCTCTTGATTCATACAACATTCAGTAATCTGGATTTTGCCCAAATTAATGGTTGAATGATTTCAGATTGCGTGTTCTCCATTGGCTTTGTGAATTGTGTGTTTTGGTTTGAAATGGGAA